CAGAACAGTCTTGCAGGACTGGCCCACCAGCTGGGCAGAGCCTTGGCCATTAAGACAGTGCCTTCTTGTATGGTTCATCCTCCTGCCCTACTTCACGCCCCTTGGGGCTACACACTCAGCCAAGTTTAAGTCCTTTGCCATGGCCTCTACTTCCTGGAGAAATCAGGCTAAGACATTTTCGTGGGAAAAATTTATCTTCAGTTTACCTGGAAGAATGAGCCAATCACAAGTAGTGTTTAATTCTTTTAGTAAAAAAAGATTGGATAAAAAAAGACTGTTGGGTCTGTGTAGGTTCATCAGTAGTTACGAACGTATCATTCCGGTGGGAGCTGGTGATAATGGGGGAGGCTGTGCATATGGGGTCAGGGGATCTGGAAAATATACTTCTCAGTGTTCCTATGAAACTAAAACTTCTCTGAAAGTAGTCTTTTAAAATCACAACAAAAAGAATACTGATAAAGAACTAGCCTAAATTTTAAAACATTTTGAAACTGCCGTGATTAAGTCAGCATGCTCTTCACATAGACTGCTAGGCAGAAGGCCCAAGGTGCCTGCTGGTTATGCTCTATAATTTGGAGTCTACATGAATAATAATGTTTAATCTTCATAAGAGCCATTTAGGAGGTATCATTTATGCCATCATTTTACAAATGATCAACAAATACACCAACCTGAGGCCCAGAAACTTTCCCAAATTTACTCAACTAGTATGTTGCACAAATAGGACTACAACTTGTTAACAGTAAAATGCATAGGAATATTTAGTGAAAAGGAAGTTTACAAAATTATACTGTATACAGTAAAATGCAGCGATTAAAAGAAGATGAATATAATTCTTAACAGTTGTTTCCAGGCTAAAACTGAGAAGAGTTTTATTTTTTAGTAGTTTTTGTACTACAGGGGCACAGCGCTACACGGTCACTTGCCACTCCCCTTTCACTCTGGGTGCACACGAAGACAGCATCTGCAGGGCTCCCTCCAGGTGTGCTCATGTGACCCACTCTGCCTGCTGGCACGTGTGCGGAGCAGTCACTCCCTCACACATTGTGTCACCTTCTGCGATTTTGGCTACTCACGGTCAATCAAGGTCTGGAAAACATTAACATGTGTCTTGATGTAGAGAACACATTTACATACCTTTTATTATATACTATTTTGTTATAACCATTCTATTTTATTATTATTAATCTCTTACTATGCCTAATTTGTAAGTTAAACTTTATCATATATGTATAAGAAAAGCATAGGGAATATATAGGGTTTGGTATTATCCATAGTTTCATGCGCCCCCTGGAACTGGACTGGTCTCCCCACTGACGATAATGGGAAATTATTGTAGCAGTGTATGTATCATTTCTAGGCCTGGCCCCCCAAAACTCATGAGAGATCCTTTGTTCCCTCTACCCTCCTCTTTGATTGGCTGGTTGCTGAGGATGTAGCAAATGATTCTAAAATCTTCAAAGACCTCAAGAGCCCAGAAGGCAGCCCAGCCACTAGAATAAAGAAGCTAGATTTCTAGATCTGCTAAAGGAAGCAACCCAACCAACCCCTCAGAGGGGCTATGACATGAATCACAGAGCAATCTGTTTTTAAATGTTTACTGCTCAGTTAAACCACTGAGGTTCAAAGTTGTTTGTGTAATAATCATAAATTATCTTAGTATATGTGCTTGCCAATTTTTTTTCAATATGAAAGTCACTGAAATGAAATAAAACAGTGTTAGTATTTTTGGTTCAGGACTCCAACCTGTGATATTTTTTAAACTTCCTGGAAATTCTGTGAACCTAAGACAGTAACAACAATGGTAGCTCCAACAACAAGAACTCACTCCCCAGTCCCAGGGTGTAACTTGGTGGGTTTGGGTAATCATATTTAGTCGTGTAACCACAATAAATATCTAGAACATTTTCATCAGCCCCAGGAAGTTCCCATGAGCCCCTTTCAGTTGATCAACTCTAAGGACTCCAGCCCTAGGCGACCACTGACCTGCTGCACTACAGCTTTACCTTTCCCACAGCTTCATATATGAGGAACCCACACTGTGTGACCTTAGCGGTTGACTTATTTTGCTTAACATAATGTTTCTGACATTCACCCATGCTGTTGTGTCAGCATCTTTATCTCTTCAATTGCTGGATTTCTCTTCTTTTTTGTAACAGAATCTCCTACATTCTGCTAGGTACTGGCTGCCCAGTAAGAGACTACAATCCCCAGGTGTGCCTGTGGGACTACATATACTCTAATAAGGGGCTAGATATATGATATTTCCAGGTCACCTCTTTAATGGCATGTTTCTTGTGCTGAATGTCTTCTTCCAGCTGAGCGGGAAACATAATGGCTGCAGTTCTGGAAGCCACATGTTTGGAGTGGCAGAGTACCTGACATACTTGGATATGCTCACTAAGGACTGCTACATGGGAAATAGGTATACATGTAATTTCAGCCACTGCATTTTGGATCTCCATGTAATATCATAAGAGTAATTAACCTCAGAGGCATATTTCCCATAAAGAAAGGACTGTATTTTAGTTATCTCTGTAACCTCGCCATGACTTAGCTCAGTGGTTTGTGTTGAGTAAGTGACTGTTTACTGGAATCAATATTGAATAAATAAATGAATTCCATATATATGTAATGTTAACCTTGAAAGAAATAGTTTTTATTTGTCTTTATTTTGTTTTAGAGGCAAGGTCTTGCTGTATTGCCCAGGTTTGCCTTCAGCTCCTGGGTTCAAATGATCCTCATGCCTCAGTCACCTGGGTAGCTGGGATTATAGCTGTGCACCACTGTGCCCATTTTTGTTAAAAATATTTTAAATCTTAAAATCTCATAAAACTTTTATTTTTAAATGGCATCGTTTGAAAATATATTCTACTAGGTTTCATGTTGATGTAACATAACATGCCTAAAATTAAAGCTGATAATGTAAAATGTGCAAAAAATGGAATGACTACAAAAGATAGCACCTACTGGCCATGATGTTGCACACCCATACTCTCACCTACTTGGGAGGGTGAAGAGGGAGGAGCACAAGTTCGAGACCAGTCTGAGTAACTTGGCAAGACCCTCTCTCATAATAACAAGTAGAAAGGCCTGGTGATGTCGCTCAGTGGTAGGGCACCCCTGGGTTCAGTTCCCCATACCACAAATAAAAATTTAAAAATAGAAATGATTTAATAATGTTCTATTTGTTTTATTTTTGTAAATATTATACAATCATAAAATATAATTAAAGATTAATTATAAATTAATCATATAAATAATTTGACATCCAAATGTGTACGTTTTTATTTTCAAGAAATATTATCAACTTCAAAGTTAAATAAAACATAGCTATTAAAATTAATTGGAAAATATGTTTAATATATTAACCAATAAAATTAAAATTATAGATTGATTATCCCGATGAAACAAACTTTATTCCTTGATGACAAACCTGGTAAACAGTTCATAAATCTAGCCCACATTCCTCAGAAAAATTATCTGTGCAGGAAAATATAATTACTTTAAGATGTTATATAACTTGTCGTTTAGTCACAGCAATTAACACAAATTCCTGGGCCAGATTTTTTACAATGTAAAAATCAAGAATTTCATGTTGTTGTCCAGATATGATTTTTTAAAAGCTGTGCTCATGGCTGAACTATGTCTGCTTTGATGTCTTTCCCTCTGATATTAAAGCTCTGGTGAAGAGCTTTTCTTTTTCAAAAAACCAAAGAAGTTATTGTAGAGTCTAGATGTCAATATATGAACTGAGTTTTAGGACTTTTATAGTTTGGATCTTAAATGCCCCTCAAAGGCTGGTGTGTTAAAGGCTTGGCCCCCAGGCTGGAAGTACTAGGAGGTGGTGAACCTAGGGCAGCGCTGGCGAACCTTTTACAGCATTCCATGATACAAGCACCCTGCTGTGGCATGCGTGCCACAGGTTCGCCACCGCTGGCCTAGGGAGAAGTCTTCCGGTCATGGAGGTACCTGTGTGAAGGGAGGTGTGGGACCCTGGTTTCCTCCTCTTCTCTGCTCCTGGCTCATGAAGCGAGTAGCTCTGCTCATCCATGCACTCCGCCATGATGTAATGACTTGTCACAGGACCAAAGCAGTGGGAACGAAACCACAAAAACTAGGAATCAAAACCAACCTTTTCTTTTTATAAGTTGATCGTCTCAGGCATCTCTTTATAGCAACAGAAAGCTGTCTAATATAAGGTTTCACAATAGACAAAACACTATTATCCTCTTTACACCAGCAAAACTAAACAATTGCCAGTCCATGTCCTGGGAACTCCTACAAAGACATCCCATCAGACCCCTCAGCAATAAGGGTACATTTATTTACTGAGATCAAACTAATCATCAGCAACAATTTCTGTGTATCCTTACTACCAATTTGCTTATTTTCCAACTCTTAAAAATAAATTTTTAACTTAGTAAATCAATTTCTTTCCCCATAGGTTTTGTTTTAAATATAATAATTGATTAGCACCCTTTTAGTTTAATAAACTATAAATGTTATGCCCACATTGCACTTGGATTAATATACTAAACTACTCATCATTTAGGATAATGAAAAATCACTTATGGACATTTACATAGCTGGCATGCAAATCTAAAGTAGCTATCCATCACTACAATATTACATAGAATTATTAAAATGGTACCTCATTGTACTCAAAATAGTTGTCCTAGAGTGAATTCTAAGTGCAGTGAGTTAAACACATTACCCCAAATAATTTCTCCTAAAAAGCCTTAGCATACTGTTATTTGCAGCATAATTTCAACAAATAATGATTATTTTCCCTACAATAAAAACTAGAATGGCTATTTGACATTTAGAATTGAAAATGGAAAGTTCTTTTTATCCTCCCTGCCTACCTTTGGGATTGCATTTTTCTTAATATTTTATGTTCTTATGAAGGACTCGGCCAGTTTTCCTGACTTTGGGTTGCAGGGACTTGGGAAACTATTGTGTAATGTAGTAAATCACCGTGAAGAGGCTTTGCCTGAGGGTCCTCCTCTTTTTTGTCTTTGATTCTATATCTTGTGGATGGGAAAATGGAGCAGAGTCCTGGTTATAAGGGGTAGGAATAATGAAGATATGCAGGAAGAGAGCAATAAGGTCAAGGTGAAAACATCTGTCTCCTGCATCTTCCAAGGCAGTGCTGCTCTTGAGCCGGCTAAGAGGGACAGACTGTCCTGGGGGAGCACACGCCACCTGGACCTGACAGAAGGGATTAAGAGTGATGATGGGTGGCTGTTGGCTCTCAGGCTGTTGTCCACATATCTTTGTAGAACCAGATGCTTTCTTGGATTTGCCAGATTAATTCCAGGCCCAAGGAGCAAAAGAGTCACAGAATAGTTATAGGATGTGAGAAATGGAAAGAACTGTGCGTGTTCCTGCCCTGATAGAGGGAAGCCTAGAAAGTTAAAGTAAACTTGCCTGGACGCCGCAGAGAGCAAGGAGCTGAGCTGGGACTCCAAGTTGCATGACCTCTGCCCATACCCATGCGTATCCATGTGTGAGACCCAGTGTTCGCCACCCACAGCACTTGTCTTACTTCTCATTCATGCCAAGGACAGCAAAGCCAGTGGGGAGGTGGGAAGGAGACAACACAGCCTTCTTTGCTCTGTGGCCCAGGCCTTCTGAAAAAACTTGCTTTCGACTTTTAGGCACTTGTCTTCTTTTCCCCAAATTAGCTTTCTTCTTTACTTCTCCTCACCTAGGCAAGCAAGACAACAGGCAGAGAAATCTTCAGGTGTATGCAAACAAGATGTATGGAGATTACAGCCACTAAAGGGCTTCAGAATTATTCACCTGGGCACGTCATAATCAATGTCATAAATAAATCAATCAAAAATTCTCTTCTCTAAAAGGCTAAATCCCTACACTACCATTTCCATCAGTCCTTACCACTGCAGGGCTGCTACCTTCTAGAAATCTGCCCTAGGGTTACTACTAAGAGCTTTTCCCACACGTATTCTTTGTAAATTCTTTAAAGTGTATGCATTTTCTTATTAATAAACATATATGGTAACCAATCATATTAAAAATAAGATTGTCTTAAAAAACAGATGGTCTCAAAAAGTTTTCCAAAACCAGTCTACTGAGTCATCTACAATATCTCTCCTCTAACATAGGATTTTTAGAAATAATTGTTGTGTATTGAATGCTTCATCCATGCAGACATTATTTAAAATATCTTCCATATAAGTTATTTATACCTTGCAATAATTTTGTAAGGTAAGTTCTAATATTATCCCATTTTACAGTGGAAGAAAATGAGTCACAGAAGTTAAGCACAATCATTAGTTCACTGCCACACACCTAGTCTCTCACAGAGCCAGGATGTGAATAGAGGCTGCCTGTATCTATGCCTGCTTCTTCTTAATACGTTCTATTATCCTTCTACAGGCAATTAGTCTGCAGTAGCTGCATAAGTGCACACAATGAAGAGCATAGATTTTAAAGTCAACTCAACATTGAGTTTAATTCCAGATCATCCCCTTTTATCCTTTGGCAAGTATTAAAACACTTGATTTACTCACCAATAAAGTGAGGACGGAAAGTGTCTTCTTCTTCATTGAGTTGGAGGAATTACAAGGACACGTATGGAAAAGATCTAGGTGTGGTGAGTCACAGTAGATACCCTATATGAGTTAGCACCCTTTCCCTCTGATGCTGGCCCAGTCATTTAATCTGGCCGATCTGGTCTGTCCATTTTCATTAATGCAAATCCCCAGGGACAAGAAGAGTTAGAACACACAATGGAAATGGTATGTTTTCTCCTAGATCGATTCTTTGGTGTCCAGACTCAGCTGTTTCCCTGGTATCAAAAACACCAAAACAGAGAGACACACAGAGAGATGGAGAGACACCCAGAGAGTGACAAAGAGGGAGACAGAGAGAGACAGAGAAACAGAGAGAAAGAGAGATTTTTTTTTTTTTTTTTTTTTTTTGGTTTTTTTCTCTGGTACC